CCCCCAAAACCCCAAAACCCCAAATAGAATTTAAATCTAAAATTTTTAAGAAAATAAAATCATAGTAAAATATAAATTTCTAAGATTAATCATCAAGAGCAACTCAACTCTCTATTAATCTAAATATGAATAATTTCAATCCAAATTTTCCAAATCCTTACTTAGATTTAGTAATTCAGAATCTGGACTTATCTTGAATATATCCTGATGATGAATAATAATAATATTCGCTATGCTCTCGACTTGCCCTTAAACATCTCCACCTGAGAGCAATGCCTTATCCCTTTACAATTAATCTTTTCTCATAAGTTGATATCTAATATCCTTGCTATCAAAGATTTAGAGAATTAAGTTTTTAAGATTGCCAACTTAAATGTCGATTATTCCTTTTTTGTCAATCTTGCTATCCTTTCTAGCAATAGATTGGGTTGTATTCAAAGCAGATTAAGAAAAACTTCTCGCGAAAAAACCATCTCCTTTTTTGTCATAGTTTTAATCTAAGAATTCTTTTTAGGCTTACAAGTTTAGCTTTAATTTCTTGTTGAGATAGATGAATATCTAGTTTCTAATGATTGTTAGAAATTCAATTGGAATTTCTGGGAACAATTGAGTCAAATCTTTAGCTTGTTGAAGCCTGCCATTAAGTTAATCCAATGTCTCATTTCCAATTTATTCGAAGAATTTAGATTTGAAGTTTGAAGTCTCATTATCAGTAAGACAGTTAATGTTTCGCTCAAGTTCATCAATCAAAGCTCTTCTTCCACCAAACTCCTCCATCATTATTTCAAGATTCTAAGATACCTTCTTTTACTTCTCAATTTCCTTGGAGTGCTTTGTTTCTTCTATAGCACTTATAATTGACCCTAACTAGCTTGAGAGTCTGACCAGAATATCTATGATATAGCTGTTTGCGGTTTGTAATAAGTACCAATAATGTGCCACTGTTTGGAGATTTCTTACTAGTTTGATGAGTTAAACCAGTTCTAATGAATCATTTCTTTCATAATTTTCTTTTTTTGCCATTAGGTCTTTCTGAGAGTCGTATGACTTTTTTAATTCCTCTTTCATTGTTTTTGATTTTCCCTTCTCTTCATCCTCAAGATCATCAGCACATCTTTACTTGTTATCCACTTCTATTTAAAGATCTGAAATACTTGTTTTGTAATTATTGATAAGTTCTTATTTTGTCTCCTATAGTTTCAGCAATTCAGTTTTCCTCGTTTTAAGCTTGACATACCTCTCATTACCTTTTAATTTAACTACTTCCTTCTTTCTCTCAATTAACTTTGCTCTCAAATCATCATTAAGTTTAACTAATTATTACTCAAGATACTTCTTCTCATTTTTAAGGCATTCTTACTCATCCTAATAGGTATCATTGATTTGTTTTTCAATTTAGGTCAACTTCATCATTAGTTCTTTCTTTTTTTTTTTGAATTCAGAATTGTCAGGAAAGATACCAATGATTTTTTTCTTCTTCAACTTCTTTTACTCTTGAAGATAAAATAATTCATTGTTGATTTTCATTTGCTCGGCCTTTAATCTATCTCGCTCGCTATTGTGTTGCTTATTAATATTCTTCTTTAAATTTACTAATTGATCTTTTTCTATTTCTTGGATTTCATCCTTGATGGAGTCTATCTCTATTTTCAAATCTATCAGATCTTGATCATTATACCTTGTTTTCTTGTCCTTTATCTAATCTATGCTTTTATTTATCAGTTCCATTTCCTAATTTTCAAAATCAATATTCATTTAGAGTCTTTTGATCTAGTTTTTTAAGGAGTTGATTGCATTTCTTTAGTCCTTATGCTTCTATCTGAAAGTCTACTCAAAAGCCTAAATCCTTTTGGTTTGTTAAGGTATCTGTGTTTCAAGATTCTTAAGCTAGTTGAAAATGGTGCTTAGATGCTCAGCTCCTGAGAAGAGGTTGATGCTATTCTTCATATATTCCTCAATAATTTAGCCATCTCTTTATCTTGTCAAGATCGTCTTGTAGTATTTTATGATTTCATCCGATTCACTGTGTAGTTTCTTAATTTACTTCAGAAAGAAGTCCAAAGTGATATTATTCCATGAAATTGATTCACAGAACTTAATCTACTGAACGAGTCTTTCCTTAGTCATGTTAGTTATGCTCACTAGATCAGTTGTCTAATCCATGTAATTTTTGCTTTAAGTTGAAAATTCAGTCAAAAAGTTCATGATCTCATGACGTCTTTTGATTCTCTCATCGTAGTCTCTCTTGATTGTCTTGTCATCTTATCCTTTGCACTAATTCTATGATTCTCTCTTCAATACTTCCAAACTAGGGAGCAAATTGATGGTTTCATTAAGAATCTAAGGTATATCTCCTGCCTTTCTCAATACATCAGTCACTGATTTCGATCCTTCATTATACTAGTAGTAAGATGATGAAACCACACCTCCTTGTTCTGACAACAGGGAATCGTTTGTTGATGCCTTTCCTCCTGACATTTATCTATAATTTTACTAGTTAAGTTAAATTTCTGCTGCTAGTGGTCATGGATATTTCTTACCTTTTTATGTTTTTGTGAAATTAGATTAAGATTTTATTATAGATTTGGTAAAAAAATTACTTAAATATTACTTTTTTATTAGATCAAATAATAAAAAGTACAAAATAAAGGGCTAGATCATAATTAGATACAAATAAATTATTGAATGACTTATCTCCCTTATTTCACGAGCTACTGTTCCAAGGGGTTTTGGGGTTTTGGGGTTTTGGGG